AAAATTATGTTTTTATTTATTTTATTACTGATTTATCTCCTATTTATTGAAATAAATAGAAAACTAACATGGAACTTTTATGATTGAATTATGTAATTGCTTTTAAAAATGTAAATTACGTTTTCAATTGACATTATGTTATTAATGAAGACATCTGTGATTGATAATAATATTTTTTATAGTTGACGCGCTTATAGGTCGCGAGAAAAAGATATGGAAATCACGGTTCGATCAGTGTCACTTTTTTGAACAATGATGCACCTCAATACACTCGAGTATTCCATCGTTACATCGTTTATCCTGTGTCATGCGAGATAAAAGTCGACCATGGTAGACAAATTGCACGAGTACGAAGGACTCATGGGCAGGATTCACGGTGTTCGCGACACCATCAAGGAACGATGGGATATGTGGAAAGAGTGGAAAAACGGTTTGAATCTAGATCAAGGCCTAGATGGGTTGAGACATCATTTACGGGGACCGCCCAAATTAGAGCGTACTTTGGACGATTATTCTCACATCTACAGGTGAAAAATTCAACGTTTAATCAAGTGTGAATATATATATCAGTGTATTTCCTAGTGAAATGCTTAGAATTCTTCATATAATTTTTCAGAATTTATACACACACACACATATATAACATACATATATATATATATATCAACATTTTTCAGAATTTCTGTATAATTTTGTAACTTTATAGAAAATTTCTTAGATCTTTTGTGCAAATTGGAGCACTTTTTATAAGTAGTAATACTTACATTTACATTTAATAAAATATATTGTACTAAATATATATATTGTATGTACAATAAATATTAGTTTTCTTTTTTTTTATTTGTTATTCCTAATAATCTCAGAAAGAAGACCCGCGCCGAACTGGTAAGAGTTTCGGCAGCTGTTATGGGGATCGAGTTCTCATACGCGGCGGAGACGGCTTTCGTCTCGCCGACGTTACTCAAGATCGGCGTCGATCACCAGCACATGACGCTGGTGTGGGCATTGAGTCCCCTTGTAGGCTTCTTCGTGACACCCATTCTTGGCAGCATGAGCGATCGTTGTAAACTCAAATACGGCAGGAGGCGGCCCTTCATTCTCCTGTTGGCTATCGGAGTTTTTATAGGCAAGTCACAAGCTTCTTCGTGTCTCCTCATTTTAAGTGATATCGATGATATTTTTCATTTTCTTTCATTCAGTTGCCACTATTCTTATCTATGGTTTTAACGTTTCTGTAGCGTATACTTGAGCATCAAAAGAGGCGAGTGAACTTTTGCATTTTTGCACACGGAGAGAATTTTCTCTTAGAATTTAGCCTGAAAATCATGATAATAGTGGGACAACATAGTATTTCAAAGAATTGTATATGAGTTTCTTTAATTTACTAATATGTGTCATAATAAGATATGTAATATATTTTATTAATTTTACTAAAGGGTATAGTAAAATTTCAACATTTTAAAATATGTTACGCAGTTTATGATTCTTTATTATTTTAAAAGAATAGATGCTAAGTAGTCATGAATATATAAAATAGCTTATACAATTTTTACCATACAGCATGATATTTTTAATCTGATTTAGTCGCTTATAATTTTACCATGTAACATAGTAATTGATCGACTGTAATCGATATTTAACGGTTATTTTCGTTGTCGAGGGTGTCTCTAGCTACGCTAGAACTTACTCGCTTCAAAACATTTTACAATCTGCATTATAATTTTTACTACATCATTTATAAAAAGTCTCTTGTATATTTCAAAAAATCTATCGTTACTGATAATATTTCATTATTGTCAAGTTGTCCCAAGCTTATTACCAAACATGATGAAATTTGTAATGAATTTTGCGGTAAAAAATAATGAAAAATTCTCTCCGTGCAGGTCTCATCTTGGTGCCAAATGGTGAACACATCGGCTATGTCTTCGGCGATACTTCGGTCCATACAAACGAGACGATCCCACTCGGACATCGCACAACGGCGAAGCTACCCGAGGAGGTAATGCCCGGATCCGTCGAAAGGGCTTCCTCGCACTCCTGGGGCATCTTCTTCACTATTCTCGGCACGGTGCTGCTCGACTTCGACGCCGACGGCTGTCAAAGTCCAGCGAGGGCGTACCTTCTCGATGTCACTGTACCTGGTGAGTAAAAAAAAATGTTACACTACTTCAGCTCTAAAAAACAGATCTATCGTTTTCATGTGAATTTTAAATTTCTTTTTCATTTATATATACTGCGCGCCGATTATAAACGGATTTGCAACTGAAATAATAATTCATCAATTTTGAATTGATCGTCTATTTGATAATAATACTAATACACACGCACGCACGCACGCACACACATCTATCTTAAGACATTGTAAACATCTATAAAGAAATAAAATTCGATCTTTTTAAATACAAATGCAAATGTTGAATGTGAAAAAACAAGAATTAATTATACAGTTTGATTTTAATAAACTCTAAAGGCGATTTTCTATTTGGTATTTATTAACGTTTTCACAGAAGATCATGCTAAAGGCCTAAGCACGTTCACCATAATGGCAGGATTGGGGGGATTCATGGGTTACGGTTTGGGCGGCATTAATTGGGACGCCACGTCGTTCGGTGTTATGCTGGGTGGACATCTGCACGTGACCTTTACTCTCATCACGATCATCTTTATCATCTGTGTCATATGTACCATTACCAGCTTCAAAGAGATCCCTCTTGAACTACTCGAACGAGATCAGTGTCGGAAGATGAGCGAGTCGAAGGTAAACTTCGCTTATAATGTTGCTATCATTTTTATTTCTCTTCTGGTAATAAAGTGCTTCATATTTTTCAAAATATTTGTATAATTTTATTCTTTATTTTTTACGTCTGATTTTTATATATAACGGATTCTTCATATATTTCTAAAAATATTATAAGATATAAAATATTTTTTGATACAGGGTCATTTAATAAACCGATATTTCTTTTGTGTTTAGGCTCCAGAAGAAAACCAAGGAACAGAGAAGAAACAAAAGGAACGTGAAAAAATCATCCCTGACGAGTCAAAAACATACGGCGCCTTTGATGTTGAGCACGAAACAGATCCCTCGAAAAAGGAAGTAAGTTCAGAAATCGTTTTTATCTTGACATGTAATCCAATGGCATTTTTCACTTAGAATTCCCATTTTAGCTGCAATTTCGTAATTTGACTGAAGTGACAAGCGTTTAACTGCCTAAGAATTGTAAGCGTGGAACTGAAAAATTAATAGGAATATATATTTGATAAAGAAAAATGATTAATAAACACCAGTATAAAATTATCAATCAAGGAATTCGCCCTCCGTCCGCTCCAGACGCAACCCTCCGACTGTTCTGAGGAACCAGTCTCCGAAGGTAGTCACATCAATTACGGCTTCGACGATGTCGAGGGTGAAGTAAACCACACGGCATCTTTGAAGGAGTATCTGCTGTCCATCATTTACATGCCACGCAGTCTTCGCCAGGTGTGCCTGACGAATCTGTTCTGCTGGATGGCGCACGTCTGCTATTCCCTATACTTCACGGACTTCGTAGGCGAGGCGGTGTTCGGCGGAAATCCGCAGGCACCCGCGAACACCGATGAGCGCGAGCTTTACGAGGAGGGTGTGCGATTCGGATGCTGGGGCATGTCCATGTACTCGTTGTCCTGCTCGTGCTATTCGCTGATCATCGAGCGGCTAATCAAGCGTTTCCGAGCGCGTAAAGTAAGAACTTCGTCACGCTTAATCGACATCAGTATCATACCACTTAGTTTAATGTTGTGATCAATTTGCATCCATTCTTCTTAAAAGATGTATTTACAAATTAAGCACTTTCTAGTAGAACATCATTCATTAGAATTTTAAGATATAAAATATATTTATAATCTAAACTGTTTATATTTAAAACCTTTTGATTATCAGTTCACTGTAAAGACTAGAAAATCTTTTAATAAATATATTATAAACTTTTGAATTGAAATTATATGTAATTAGTTTTACAGTCTAGAAATAGTGTTTAAAACAGAAATAATCTCTTTGCAATTTTTTATCCATTATATATTTATGCCCATCTAGGTTTACATTTACGGGCTGCTCTTCTATAGTGTCGGTATGCTTCTGATGGCTCTGACGAAGCATCCAGCTGGCGTTATCCTCTTCTCATGGACCGCTGGCGTCATGTATTCTACATTGTTTACCATGCCCTACCTACTTGTGGCACACTACCACGCGTCTTCGATTTTCGATCTGACGACTGAGGGCGATGCAGTTTCTGGCGGTTTCGTGCGCGGCCTGGGGACCGACGTCGCCATCGTCTCCTCGATGGTATTCCTCGCACAGTTCCTGCTGTCCTGCTGCTTGGGCACGATCGTCAGCTTCACGGGCACTACCGCAGCGGTGGTTTACGTTGCCAGTATCCTGGCGATGTGCGGCGCGGCCTCGGCCACGCAAATTATGTACCTGGATCTGTAAATCTTGTTCGTCAATCAATCAGAATGTTAAGCCGTTGATTAATCGTAATGTTTCAATAATTGTTCGTAAGTCAACTTCGCAGAAGAAGGTAGAATAATCGTTATATCCGAAGATAAAATTCCTCGTTAGCTGCAGATAATGGCAAGATAATCAAGATAATAAGCCAGATGTTAAGCTGGATAGATTTATAAGATAATCATAGCCAATTAATCATCACTACACTAATCGTTAATCAATAATTGTCAATTTTAGTGATTGCATCATCCGATTATGATTTCGTCCGTTTCGCGTCAAGCAACTTTGATGTTATCGTATATTTTGCTAGCGAATAAACTATCGATTAATATTACAACCTGTTAAATGTTTCAGAAATATTTATTGAGTGGTTATGTAAATATTTATTTGTTCTAAACAGTCTAAAGTAATATATTATACATCTTTATTGATAACAGAGAGGATGGATGTGTATACAATGTGTAACATAACAAGTAAATCATCGATCAATGTATCAAGCTCGAACGAATCCAGATGCTCACGTACGAAGATTATTAATACACTTTTCCAAAATGTCTTTCCTAATCCTCGGATAATCCGTATTCTGTTTCAGCACTTCGTTACACGCTTCGATCGCGTCGGCGTAGATTTTCGCCTTCAGACAACAGTAAGCCAGTTTATAGCCCACTGATAATTTCGTTTTGCCGCCGCATTTCCAAGCTTGACCGTATCTCGCTGCCGCTTCACGATAATTCTGATCTTTTTCAGCGATGTAGCCTGAAAATGAAGATACCTTTAAGCCTATTATAAATTTTAAGTCTTTGGATGAGCAATATTTCGCAATAGAACTCAGCTCAGCGATGGAAATGCGATTCAATATTTTATGTAAATTATTCCGTATAATTTTAAATCGTAACCAATAATAAGATTTTATTCGGATCGACAAGAATTAAACACTAAGTATAAGTTTAAATCGTAATCTAACCCGAAAGCTCGTGGGCCCGCACGCAGGTAGCGTTGTGCTGCAGCACTCGTCTAAGCAATTCGTTCGCCAGCTCGTACTTGCTGGATTGCACGTAGATGTCTGACAGCAGCAGCCAGCAACGCTCCAAGTACTCAGCGTCCTCGAACGTCCAAACATTCTTGCTAACGCGCTTCAGGTGATTCCGGGCGCGCGGCGTTTGCTTCAACAGGATGTGTGCGGTGGCCATACCGAGAGCAGGTCCTACATGATCTCTCAAAGTCTCCTGACTGGCCAATGCAGTACAATCCTGCAAGGCTTTCTCGATGTTAGACTTCTGCTTGGTGGCCAATAAGAAGAAATTGCTGAGAAGCTTGTGGGTCAGTTCTTCATGAGGGCTCCCCTTGGGATTCAATTCCTACAATACATTTTTTATTTGAATCATTAAGACAACTGAAATGTAAAAATTTTTTATACTCTTAGTAGATACAAATGAAACAAAAATTGAATCAAATTGAGCCACATGTAAGTATTAAAAACCGACATTGGCTATTTCTGTTTGGACGCTCATTCTATTTATCACTTATTATTTGTGAAAGGAAGATAAAATAGATACTTGTGAGCGTCCAAACCGAACGCAACCATAGATATGAAATATACCTGTAGCAATCGGTAAGCCGTCCTCAAAGCCATTGTCCTTGAATCCTGATATTCGGTGTCGTCGTCGTTGAAGGCTTCGTTCGATAAAGTAGTGTCGTCGTCCGGATCCAGACAGATCTCGATCATATTGTAGATCGCCTGCTGGCCCCATTCCGGATCGCGTCTTGCAAAATTGAAGTTGCGAAGAGCGGAGTTCAGTTTACCCGTCCTCCAATCCAGCAATCCGGCGCAGTAGTAGAAGCCAGCCTCGACATTGCCAGCACCCATCGCGATCTGCGCGCGTTGCAGCCACTCGTCGAGGTCATCCATAGCACCTATGATGCAAATTATAATATATCAATATTATATATATAAATCAATTCCTAATCAAAATATCTCAAGCAAGAGTAAAAAGTTTGACAAATGCGAAACCTGTTCTGCGCGACACTTCTATCAGTCTCGCCAAGGCAGTCCAATAGGTGGGTTGACGTAACAGCAACTGTCGAAAATGGAATGCCGCGGTATCGAAATCTACCTTCCGAAATGCGAGATCCGCCATCATCACGGACGCAGCCTCGTTGTTAGGATCAGCGTTCAGTAAGATTGAACAATTCTGCGCGCACCGATCCAAGTTGTTCATCTAATAAATACATATTCAGATTTCATATTAATATATGAAATCAGGATTTTTGGTAACCATTTAATAAATCAGAGCCAAAGATTTATTTCATGGATTATTCTATTAATATTTCCATCAGAAATCAAGATGGAATCAGTGTTGGGATTTTCAGTTTTTTTTTTACAGATTCTATATGTATTATTTACCTGCATGTATAGCTTCGCCAAAGAAAGTAGGGCATTCACATCCGTAGGTTTATGAGCCAGTGCCTCTTTATAATATACTATGGCTTCGTCATAGTTGCGTAAGGTTGACGCATAGTCAGCCATCGTCAGACAGATATTTGCCAGCATATGTTTCTGATCTGCAATATCCGGCGAAGCGGCAAGACGCTGGATGTATCTATGTTGATTCTCCTTGGCTTCCTTCAAAGTTGCCAATGCGCCCCTGATGTTGCCTGACTTCTCACGCACCTTGGCGAGCAATAACAACTCTTGTCCTCGCATCTCCAAATTTAGAATGTCGGACTCGCCTCGTTTGTCTAAATAAAGAAGAAGAAAGTAGATATAATAATAATAATAAATATCTCTATCTCTAGTATAATATGATGATTAAAAATAGACATTTTCTTTTATTTAACATTATTAGAAATATAAATATTATTAAGTAATACATAATTAATTTTATATATAGTGTTAATTTCATATTTAATATTAATTTTAAAATAAATTTACCTTGCAGCTCTTGCACCAAAGTGGCTTCTGCCTTGTCATACTGTTTCATCTTCATATACAACTTGGCCAGATCTAACTTTAGAGCGGCGCAATTGTCCTGCTTCACAATATCTTTGTAATAACTGATCGCTTTCACATATTGATGCGCTTTGACAAGCGCTTTGCCCATTTTATTCGCAATATCTGCTTTGTTGATCGGATTTTGTGAAAGTGCTTGCTCGTATGCCTCTATCGCTCTCTCTGGCTCCTGTATGGACATGTAAGCGTTACCCAGCATGCTGTACGTCTTTGGTCCAGGACAATGTTCCACCAATTCTCTAAAAGGTAAATATCAGCGATAATATTCATTCCAAGATTCCACATAAATAATATGTCCAATAAATATAAAAACTAATAAACAAAATAATGACAATGATGAAGATTAAATTCTTTGTACCTGAAACATTTAGCAAACGCCTGGCGATCTTTCTTATAGTTCAAATTTATTTCGGCTAATCTGGTGTGTGCCTGCAAATAATACGGTTGCCCTGGATGAATGTTCCGCAAGCAGCTGATAGCATTCTCTAGTTCTCCAATGTCTAGATAGACCTCAGCAGTGCCGATAGTAATTCTTCCAAGTTCAGTAGTGCCGGCAAGATTTGTTTTCGCCTCGTCGATAAGTGCCAGTGCTTCAGCAAACCGCCTTGCCTTGCTATATGCCGCAATCAACTCTAAATACAATGTCGCTTGGTCTGATGTAGACATATCGGATTTTCTATTGGCGCTGCCAGTCAAGCCTACCAGCGACATGGCTGTCTGACAGCTCTTAACACAGTTCTGCAGATCACCAGCCTCTCGTTGCACCATGCCGATGATTAAATGATAGATTGGCTCGTCTCGGATCTTGAAGTTGTAGCTTAGACCAACCTCCAGGTTCTGCGAAGCAAGCTGGTACTTGCCTTGATATGCCAGAATCTGAGCCATTAAGAGATGGGCTTGTGCATTGGATGGTTCTACCGTATCCAATAATCTCCTGAGCAAGATCAGCGCACCCTCGTAGTCGCCACTTTGCATTCTGGCCTTGCTGAGCAATAATGTAGCTACACTGGAACCTGGACAGGCTTCCACCAGTCGTTCCAATAAACGGACACTCGGTTCCTTCTCCACTGCGCTACCCAGCTTAAAAAACAGGACAGAATGATAGATACAATTTTTTGTTTCCAACGTTATAATTAAATAATAAATTAAAATTAAAATGTATTCACTTTTATCGACTTCCTTAAGAAAAATAGCTACCTCGTCACTCATTGGGGACTTATTCAAAGAATGCATTAAACGTTGCTTTGCAATTTCAAGGCATAATCCTGGTTTAAGCTTGCTAAGATATTCGTAACCATATGGAAAGCCCTCGCAGTTCTTCAACAAGATATTTGCCGCCGTGTCCAAGTGACCGAGTGCCTTAATGCTGTTTTCTTTGGAAGTGATCTTTGCGGACATAAACAGTAACTGGACATTTGTCGAGTTCGGTTGTATCTCCATCATAATCTCCACCTGGAATGCAACACATAAGATAAACTTCTGTAATACCTGCTCAATGAATCACTTCAATTGATATGTCTAGAGATTATTCTTTAGAAGAGAAAAGTGTATATATATACAGGGTGTTTGGAAAATAATGTGATAAATCTTTTGCATAGGGATAAAATGGACTAAGCTGAGAAGAAAAGTCCTCTATCATTTTACGATTTTAGCAATAGTTAATAAGATATTAATTGCTAAAAATTGTCGAAAATTGGTCTTCAATAATTTTTTACTCAAATACTATCAACTTTACAGAAAAACTGCGAGAGACAAAAATTATTTATTTTCTTTTCATAGAACTCTAAGAATTTTTCAGAATTTTTTATCAACTTTTTAGGACTACATTTTCTTATTTTTAGTAACATGAGAAAATACGGTATTAAAAAATTCTGAAAAAAATTCTCAGAACTTTATGAGAAGAAAATAAATAATTTTTGTCTCTCGCAGTTTTTCTGTAAAGTTGATAGTATTTGAGTAAAAAATTATTGAAGACTAATTTTCGACAATTTTTATCTTATTAACTATTACTAAAATCGTAAAATGGTACTTTTCTTCTGAGTTTAGTCCATTCTACCCTTATGCGAAAGATTTATCACTATTTTCCAAATACCCTGTACATATACGCGCGCGCACGCACGCACACGCACACAAATACATATACATAAATATTTGTTCAAATGTGCAAAAAAAATAGCTTTGCATTGTTGTAAATTTCTGTACGATTTATATATTTAGATTTGTAGATCCAGAGAAGAACTAAGGACAAGGTCAATCATATTAAAAAATTTTACAACAGTTGCAAAGTTATTTTTTCTGCTAATAGCAGCCGTTTATTCACCTGTTGCCGTGCCTGATCCAGGTCCTCCGCAGATCCCTGCAGCAACTGACAATGTGCTAGTCCCAAGAGTGCCACGAAAGAGGATGGATCAGTGCGGATGGTGTTCTTGTACCAACGCTCGGCGTCCTTGACATTGCCTAGCGCGGCATACAAGTCACCCAGCTCTGCCATCAATTCTGCGCTGCTCGACGATGTCGCTTGTAGCATCTTCTCGGCCGTCCGTGCCAACTCTAACAGAATCCCATGGTCTTGGAATGCAATACCAGAGAACAGTTGCAAGTTCTCAATCAGCAAGACTGTGTTCTTCGGTTCAGCAAGCAGCAGGTTACGCAGAAACAGCTGCAACTGTGGTAAACCCTCGCTGGGATTGCCATCTCTGCACAAAGCCACCATCGAGCTTGCCTTGATACCATCCAAGTTGTTCGACTCGATCGTGAGCACGCGGTTTACCATCTCCAGCACCTGTTCCCAATCCTTCGCTGCCAGTAGACACTTCATTTTTTCTATCAACGGAAATGGTTGCTTGGGATAGCGCACGATCAAGGAATTCAAGATCAAGATGGCACTTGGATAGTCTCCGATGCGTCGTTTCGTCTCTGCAGAGCCTAATAATGCACCCAGGTTTCTTGGCTCTTCTTTTAAGACGGAATCAAAGAAGTTTCCTGCCTCTTGTACATCTGTGCCCGATTTCAAACTGAGCTCCAGCTTTCCTTTGATAAATAACACATTGATATTCATGGGTTTCATTTTGCTTGCTCTGTCCACATACTCCTTCGCTTTGTCTGCTCGACGAGAGAGGAGCAACACAGATGCTGCTAGACATAACGAAATACAAGATGCTTTTCTGCGCTCGTCTCGAATCCTGTTCTCTATCTGAGTCACGGTGCTCCTCTCCACTTCGCCGTCAACTAGGGCAACGCTTTGCACGAGCAATGCTGGTAGTGTGACATCAGCATAGTTTAGCAAGCTAGAGCTCTCCTTGATGGCCTCGTGGTTCTTACCGACAAGAATGTTCGCCAGACAGAACAGCAGCTTCAGCCGCTCGCTATTCGGATAAGTATCGCGTGCCTGCTTGACTTGAGTCAACATACTATTATAATAATGTTGTTGGCAGTACCACTCAATGAGAGCTACGTGCTCTGTTTCATCCATTCTTGTCTTTGTGTTTTTATATCCAGTTTATTAGACTTGAATTCTCTAATCTATTCTGAAATAAGATACGAGTTCTAAATTAACATATAAAGACAACATTTTAAATTCAACTAATTAATAAAAGATTCAATTAATTTTAAAAAATTAAAAAGACAAGATAAATCTACGAGCCAAATAAGATATTCTCCTTATCTTTCTGAGACCTTTTAAGATTTAATTAAAATTTTTATATTTCTCAAAATTTTGAAAACTTAAATGGCTAGATAAGTAAAAATAGACTATATAGAGAAAAATTAAAAATAAGTTAAAACAATTATTTTATTTCTTAATAATTTTAATGAATGAGTCATTCATTTTGTCGTTCTTACACTCTATTTATATATTTGTATTTTATTAACTTCTATTCATGTACAACGCGTTCTATTTCATATGTATTTATTTATTCATTATTATATATTTTTCACACTACGTGATATTCTGTGCCTACCTTCACATCGCTTGACTAGAAAAAAACATCGCGGTTTACACCGTCGAGCAATGTTCAAAAATCTGCCGTCGGCGAGGTTTCTCACTTCGTCTTGATACATCGTGAATGCAATGATTCCAGTTTATCCACAAGACGATTTTTCGTTTACATCCTACTGATGATGTTGAAGTAATAACACAAAACCGACGAGCGAAAACGAGACAAACAAGTTATATTATTTGTTGACAACGCCATTGCTATGGCAACTGCTTACGTATACCCAAAGACATAGGCCTAAGGTTTGTTCACGTCGCATGCTCCAAGCTCCAATATGTTCCAATATGCTCCTACCATAGCTCCTACTCACTCCAACGCGCTTGATAGAGTGACAGGGGAACCGGGAATACTCGACTGCAGTTGGTTGATTCTTACATTCCGACTCGGATCGAACCCTGGGTGTAAACTAGAGGTTTGTTCGCGTCGCATGCTCCAACCTCCAACCAGGCCCGCCTCCAACGCCGGGGTCGCCGGGAGCCAAATGTGCATCACTGTTTGTAGGGTAAGGATTAAGGTCATTCAAGAGCTTAAGATTCTATGATCTAAGATCTGAGATTAAATTTGTGTAAAGAAATCCGATCTTATACTTAATTATAAGATTGTCTTATAATTAAGTATATTATAAGTATAATCTAAGTATATGGTGTTAAGATAATTTAGAATCTTAAGATTCCGAGAGCATCTGAAATACTCAACTCTTACCTTACAAGTGGGGGTCACTAGTGACTGAGCGATTCCTGTTCGTGCAAATTTCTCCAAACCAAGCTCAATGAATCCGGCGCTTGTTATCTCCCCGTAAAAAATGTTTGTGGTAGGGAAAACCTGTGCGCGGCGAGGCGACCCCGGCCGTGTGATTTGCGTGCAGTTCAAGTTGACGTGAAACGCTAGTGACCCTCTGTAAGTATACAAGGCAAAGGATGCTTTTTGTGAAAAATAAAAATTGTGTCAAAATCATTATAAGTATTCTATTTTCATTCTAAATTAATGTCTGAATGTTTGTTTTCATGAAAAAAATTTTTTTCTAGAAGAATTTTTTAGACAAAATGGATAAAGTTAAAGAGGCGAGACACGTTATTTTACAAGACAGCGAAGTTGACATTTTTGGAGGAGAAACAGACAGCGATGAGGACTTTATATTATCGGAAAGCGAAGTCGAAAGCGAAGAAAATGGACTTGACTATGATGACGACTATGAATGCAGTTCGAAGAAAACTCGTGCTGAAGAGGAAGTAGAGCAACATGAACCATCTTCTAGCTCAGATCGTCCGAGACAGTATCTTTACGGAAAAGACAACTACAAGTGGCTTACGAAAGCTCCTGAATCAGAAGGTAGGAAATCAATTACTATACATTTACCTGAATGTAAACAAGAAGCGAGAGAAATGACAACGCCATTAGATATTTGGAGTTTGTTGTTTCCGGATGAATTGCTGGAGATTATAGTGAAGCACACTAATGAGGAAATAAACCGGAGATTAGTCAATTTATCGAGTCAGCCTTATTATTGTGAAACAGATTTGATTGAAATGAAAGCATTTATTGGTCTTTTATATTTTGCTGGATTACAAAAAGATAGACATAAAAATACAGTGAATATGTGGAAAGAAAACGGTTGTACTATGTATAGAGCTGTCATGACTCGCAATCGTTTTATTTTTCTGGGTTCGTGCTTACGCTTTGACGACAAAACAATAAGGAAAGACAGGCAAACTACCGACAGATTGACGGCCATCAGAGAAATTTGGGACAAGTTTATCGAAAATTGTACAAAATATTATACCCCTTCACAAAGTTGTACTATAGATAAGCAGCTTCTTGGCTTTAGAGAAAAATTTTTTGCAAAAGTTTACATCAAAAGTAGACCTGATAAATACGGAATAAAAATTTTATGTTTAAATGATTCCAGAACCTTTTATATGTTAAATGCGATTCCGTACACAGGCAAAGTTGTAACCGAAAGATTAGAAAACATTCCTTCATATTATGTGCGCCAACTTTCAATCCCGATTCACGGAACCGGCAGAAACATTACCTGTAACAGTTGGTTCACTTCTATTGAATTAATAAATATGATGAAACGTGAGTACTCTCTGACAATGGTTGGTACAATACGGAAAAATAAGCGTCAAATTCCTTTTGTCTTTCAACGATCTGCTTTTGTTGGTGATGCACGATATGTATATACGAACGAAATGACTTTATTATCTTATACACCAAAGAAAAACAAAGTTATATGCCTTGTATCGAGTTTGCATAGAAATAAGGGAAAAACAGATGTAGAAATTAAAAAACCGGAAATAGTTTCCTATTATAATAGTACAAAAGGCGGAACAGACACTTTTGATTTTTTGTGCAAAAGCTATTCGACGTGTAGAAAAACGAAGCGATGGACAATGAGGCTTTTCTTTGGCATGCTTGATCAAGCAGTTGTTAACAGCAATATTTTATATAATCTGAATGATAGAAATAATGCGATGAAAAGATATAATTTTATAGAAGACTTGGCAATTATGCTAGCAGGTCCGTACATGCAAAATAGATTACAACACGCAAATCTTCAAAAACGATTAAGAATATCTATTTGTGCTATTTTACGAATAGAAGAACCGCAACCAGAAGAAAGAAAACATAAGCTTGAAACAAGAAAACGATGTTATTATTGCAAAAATACCGCCGACAAAAAAACCTGGATATGTTGTTTTATGTGCGGAAAACCGATTTGTGAGCAACATCGTACTTACGTATGTCTAGACTGCAAAACGTAAAACTTTTCTTTTATAGATATTTATTTAAATATGTATTTATATTATATATTTTTTTTCATTAAAAAATACATTATATTACAACAAAATAATAAAATGCATATTTTAACTCGACTTTTCCTATTTGTCCCTTGTTGAAAATTACTCATATTCATGTGCTCAAACAATTCAACTTTTTGTAGAATTCGAAGTTTTAGTTTTTTTTTTAAACTTCATATCTAAACTATAAAACCCTGGAGTCATTTTTTGATATTTATTTATTATGAAAAGTTATAATTTAAAAAAAAACAGAAAAAAAGGATTACGAGCCTAAGATTAATCGTTAAAAATTAAAAATCGAAAACGTTAGTAAACATGTTATTTAGTTAAAATATATAAAACTTTAATTTGCAATAAACAACAAAACAAAAACAAATGTTTCGATCCCTATTGGATTATTATCAATGTTAAAATAACAGTGAAATTATTACAAAGAGAAGATATATAAAAATTAAAATTCGAAATTATTAAAAGTATGTTAGTAAATTTTAGAGATGTTTGGAATCATTTTGAAAAAACAAACGGATTCTAATGACCCCCCGTTTATATGGATGAGGCACCAAATTGTACCTTGTACGCGCGGTAAGGGTTAAAAATAATAGTATTCATAGTCCGATTTTATATTTGAAATTGTCTTAAATTAGATCTAGTGTCTTAAGATCGTCTAAGATCTTAGAATTTTAAGATCATGTAAATTGAAATAATTATCTTTGAACGATATTCATAATCTAACGATATTTATAATCTTATATTTAAAATCGTCTTAAATCTCAAAATTTCATTTAACTAATGAAATGATCGTATAGTTTCTAGAAAACATGCTTAAGACGATCTTACACAAGATTAGATTGTAAATATCGATCAACGACTATTGAACCTTTTTGGTTTCATTTCGTTTATCTCGAGTCGAGTATAAAACATAAAGTATAAAACACAGGAAAGAGATGTTTATACATAAAATATTTAAGACTTTGAAAATTTATTATTCTATTGAGCTATTTACATATCGTTCTAAAAATTATCTTATATAACTTACAGTTACAGTGGTAGTTCGCACAACGCACATCGAAGCCAATTCATGTTAAAACTTTACAGTAGTTTACACTGTTATACATTTAAATGGTACATTTTCTCGTAATAAATACAGTTACATTTCAATTAAAGAAATATCGAGACGATATGATCATGTTGATGTCGAAGGTACCCTTGTTCGGTATCTTTTGAAAGACATTTAGCGAAACATCGTCGCCTCTTAGCTTCACATCCCTAAAATTTTAATCATGCACTCTTAATATAAAACGCATCTATTATTTCTTTTTGCCTCTTATTTTACAATTTTTTTAGATTTCTGATATCCGCAAATTTTTTATTGTTTAAGATCCTAAGAAGTTGCAAAGGACTCACCGCTTATTACTCGCAATGTGCTTTCCATAATTTTTATAAAAGAATTCGGACAAATCCTCGAGAATGGGCTCGCTGTGAAGCGCGATGAATTGCTCCCGGCAAATCTGAAAAGCGAGACGTTGCGCATTATGGCTTTGTCTGAAAGTGTTTGTTGTTATATGTCTTTGTAATGATTTTTACTCTGTTCATAATATCCACCGTGGACGGGTGCGTCCAGAAACAATCGTGCACTGACATAAATGTGATCTCCGCCTGTTCACAATACAAGCTCGTTAACATCATGTGGCAAGAGTCCAACGAGTGGATAAAATTCGGCGCGAAGGCATTCTTTTGCTTTACTGTGTCCAACTTCCTGTAAATAGTATTTGTATTACATACATTTTATTTATGTAATGTATATAATCTACATAATTACATAGATAATTTATATAACGATATCCATTATATAAAAGGAAATATGAGATATACGGAATAATTCCATAAACCTTTGAGAATTGATATAATTTAGAAATAAAAACTCTTATGTTTTCTAAATCTTACAGTCGATCCAAAAGTTTGTAAACATTTTTAAATTAACTTTTTTGGAATTACTTAAATATCCAAAGCAATGTTTTTACAATAAATTTTCAAAATACGTTGTTATAAATATTTGAATAAATGATTCCAAGAATGTCAATTTTATAAAAATGTTTCCAAACTTTTGGTCTGGACTGTACTTATATACAGAAGAGACAAATACGAGAAATATGTAAACATGCGATGAAATGTGTAGACAAGTTAGTGTTCTCACTTGAAAACTTTGAGTTTCAAATTATTTGACTTCTTGGAATAGGGTTGCATGACCGGAAGGCCCAACGGCGTCACCCACTGCACATTCTGGTTGCATCTGATCGTGATAGCGCGGGCGCAATCCGTGAACCAGTTCTGTATCTCCTTCGCGCTTTTAAACATGCTCTGAAGAGACATGAATGTCTTTTCAACTAGATACATGCTGCCGCTCCAAACATACGTCTGGTCGAAATCCTTCAAATCGCTGAGTTGCCTGGCGATCTGTAGCCTGGCGCCAAACTTCGTCACGCCATACACTGTGGTCATTACAGTCTGTTTCATGACTTTCCTACTGACGTGTCCTTCCAAGGCCTGGGCTATTTTATTGCCAGCATTCGCGTCGATCTTCCTGTACTCGTCAACCATCTTAGCGACGACACTGTACACGTCCTGTGGCTTGTTCGAAGGATACAAGTTCACGCTCTTCGCTCCTATTAAATCTCTTCCGAGTGCAGCGTAATGCTGTAAGCCGTTGCAGCTACCGTCTTGGTGAATGGGAAGTCGGCAGATGTACTTCTTCACGTTTGGGGATTGAAGAGCGTTATCTATCTCTTTGCATGCCGCCAACGTTTGCCATGGTTCGTCGGCCTTGGTCCACCACATCTTTCCTGTCAGGGGATTCCTCGCGCTGTCCACAATCAGGTCTAATATCTCATTCGCGAACTCCAACCGTTTGTGCATTGGTTCTTTCTTCTTCAAACCGGACATGTTTATTGCATGAATCTTCAGCCAATCCAGACCATCAGAACCCAAAGGCTTACCCTGAGCAAACATGAGAATAGAGCGGCCTAAGTCCGAGCTGAGATGGGTCAGATGAGGCGGCACTGGGTACGCCCTACCTCTAAAGTCCAAATTGTGCGGCATCCAGAATATCTTGTCCCTAAAGTGATTGGCGAGGGATAATTTATAGAGACAGTCGCACCATAGCGAGTGCATCTCGTTTTTCATACGTTTGAATTGAAGCAGCAACTTTGACATCTCTTTAGGACTCTTATCTGTTTCGCTCGCGATGATATCCGTCGAAGATGGAATTACTGTGGATGGTTGAGGTACATTCAGCTCTTTTGAGCCCCCATCCCTGAAAATCTGAATCAAGATATCCAACATGGGTACGTTGATTCTCCACGGAATCGAACCGAGTTGATTCAAACAGTCGAATGCTGGATACAGTTGTTTTGTCGGCGTATTTCTTAGCAGGTGTGATGATTTCATGTAGGGATCGCGAACAAACGCCGCCTTGGAGAACAGATAACCGCCGGTGTTTACGTTGACCCAAGGACGAGGCGGAGAGAACGTCGGCAACAAAATTGTGTCAAAAGACAGTGTCTCCGAATGCGAGTCCTTGTAAAATCTGTGTAACTGAGGATGAGGCTTGATCTCTTCCATAAAGAACTTGTTGGAGTGGAGCCTGAAGAGTAGGTAGAATGCGGGTATCTGCCGCTCGGGCGCACCAGGCTTAGGTACGTGTGGAATCTTCACGTCGTTCACGATGATGTTGTATAGAAATTTGCCTACGTTTAGCATAGTGTTACGAGACCATTCTGGTACCGTGAGGTCGCAACACATACCAGACTTTTCGGCCTCATCGATGAGTTGCTGCCATTTGATGCGCCCGTTGCTGATCCTGTCAGCAGGATTCTTCTTCATATACCACTCCAAATACGTCTTGTAAATCTGAATAGAATTGTCTATAACACCGTCCTTCATCTTTCGCTGAAACTCGTACCTCTTGTAAATATATTGTCCCAGTGTTAGATAAAGATACGTCATAGTATAACTGAATCCCTCGGAGAATTTAGTCAGCTGGCTGATTTCGTTCATTATCGCCTTGACATACTCTTCCTTGGGTAATACTTGCAGAAATGGATACAAGATCTTTAAATCGTTCTTCACCTTTGTCTCCTTCTGTTTCAGATAAGTCAGATTTCTCTCGAAAGCCTCGGCCACAGTCGATTTCCAGATCTTCTCCCATTCCGCAACCCGTTTGATAGCTTGCTGTTTAACTTCGGGATCTCCGGTGAACAACGCGATGCTCTTTACATCCATTATACACTGCTTCTCTGTGTCGATCTGCGTACGCATCATATTCCGCAACTCGTCCATGGTCGCTACTCCTTTCGCCGGGCTCTGCCAGTTATTATTCGTCGTCAGATCCCTCAGTAGATTGCAGTTGTATGAGGTATCATTGGCTTGAGACTGTACACAATAATTAGGATCCAATGATCTCATACAATGAAGAATGGCGTTGCGTTGCGTTGCACTTAACGATGTGTTAATTATTTTATCAAAGGAGATGCCATTGTGGTTCATGTCTGCCATCACTTCAGCCGCGTTTTCTGCAAAGAGAGTCACATTCAAATTATAGAAATGTTACGAGAATATTTGTGCTTTAAATAATTTCATCGAGTTCGTTATTTATAAAATCTTTGCAAATCACATAGAATTATATAAATCTAATTTCCCTAAAATTTAGATTATTTTAAATACTAGATATATCGTTATATACACAATAATTAAAAAAATCTCAAGCCATTTAAAAAACTTTTGAATTTACTTAAAAAAATTATCAATGATATTAATCTTATAAAAAATTCATTTTATTATATCCCCTTAAAGTTATGAAATTTTCACCTTAAACAGTTCTTCAAAAACTACTTGGTTTTAAAAAAATGTATTTACGAATCTTAATATATTTTTTCTAATTTGAGCTTTTTTTCGTTTTATTTTTAAAAGCCATATTAATTTACCTTCTCTTTTCACCTGGTTTTTTATCCTTCCGATTATCTCGAACATGAGAGCGTACGTCTCAAAGTTCGGCTGGACAGAATCCTCCTTTAATGTTCTGTAGATCTCGAATGCCTTTTCCACATGCGCATTAGAAATATGGGTCTTTAAGAGCAGATTATAAAGCGACACGGGGGAGACTTTGCCTTTCTTAATATGGTTTTTATTCGACGTGAGCAACTTGAAGGCCTTATGCGGCATGTTGATTTGTATATAAACGTCAATATGCGCTAATAACTGAGAAATTAGATTGTGATCGAAAAGACGATTCTCCAATGGATCTGGCTCATTTGTGAAAGGAATTGTAGCGTACGAAATTGAAGACTCATATTTTGGAATCTGCTTACTGTAAAAACGCGAATTGTGCATGGTTAAAGTAAAGAATCTCTCCTCTTACAGATTATTTCGGTTATAAATGTTATAACTTACAGTGTATCATCTTGATTATCCCTCTCTTCGTTTTTATCACCCTGCAGCATATTCAGAAAAGAAGAATCTTTAATCAACGCAGTTTGATCACTTATGCCAGATTCTTTCAGATTCTCCATAACTGCGGATGTATCATCTAATTGCCCATCAAATTCTTTAGGTATGGCATAATGTGTATCGTCCTCTTTGTCATCCTAAAATCAATATGCCAATTTGATTTTTGCAATTTGAATACCATAATATTTAAATTGTATTTTTCATATTAATATTTGGTATTCTTATTCAGAAATGTGTATCACATAATTTTTTCAGATTCCAAAAAATTATCCCTTCTTAGAAGCGAATCATCATAAAATTACCATATGAACTAAATCTTTTTTAACTCCAGTCTTTTCACTAGTGTCCTTCTTTTGTGTCGTGATCGTCTCCTTCTTAACACGAAAATTAGAGATCTCGTGCAGTTTGTCTAGTGTAATATTAGGCTGATTAACCAGAATGGACATTTGAGCAGAACTCAACCTGCTCACTGCTGCTTTCCTGTTGTTGGTCGTCTGATCTGTTACTAATATGGTAACAATAAAAAATAATTTATTTTTTGTTCACTAATTGTCAGATTGACAAATTCTAACATATGTCATTATTTTTTCTTATTTTTAGTTATAAGACACTTTATGCTCATTGCAAAAATCTTTCTGATTTAATAAAACTATGGAAAGAGAAGTTACGTCAGAAAGAACACTTACAATTCAAACAAAATATAGTTATTCATAAAGAAATTATTTAGATATTGTACTTTTTACAAAAAAAACAACACGTGCCATCAAGATTAACTGCTTACTTACATATTTTATTTTTTATATTAATACATGTTACTCTTCATATTAGATAGATGTTTTTATGTTATATTGCTGTACATACCTTCCAATAACTCTGCATATTTTTTCGTGCGACGTTTAACTTTCTTTTGCAAGGGAGTGCGTAGTTTTACTGTATCGGTTGTTGCATAACATCGAATCATTGTACATCTCACTGCTGAAAGTATATAAAATAAATGATTATAAAATTTAGATATAAGAATAGGATTCAGTTTCATTCGATCTTTATGTAATCTTCCACTACCTTGAATAGGTCCATCTACAGCATCTAAAATATTTTAAGCTACAAATATATATGTATACAGCAATAACTAGAGAAAAAAATTGGTTGAAGCCACTGATAATGCACGACATCATTGCTTTATGACAATTAATGCAGAAACAAATCAGAATGGAATACCATTGTGACTATGAAGCATACAATTTTTTCATTATGATTGAGAAAAAAATTGGTTGAAGCCACTGATAATGCACGACATCATTGCTTTATGACAATTAATGCATAAACAAATCAGAATGGAATACCATTGTGACTATAAAGCATACAATTTTTTCATTATGATGATATTAGGAAAACAAAGTTGCAAAGAAGTAAAGGCTACAATGAGGTGAGGAAGAATGAAATTCGCAAGACGAGAGCGTGTTATTCGCAATCATTCGTAAATAAGAGATCTCGGACACGGGTTTACGTACCACGGGGTGGGCTCAGATGATGGAATTTGCAGAACGAGCATAGTCTCGCCCGGCTCTGGGTGACTGGTCGGCCTGACATGATACGTGCATTCTGCATCGAGACGGTACGGGTCCTCAGAAAGTTGAGCATTCTTACGATGGTCGCGTGACGCGAGTCATCGATTGCCGAGGATGCCGATGACGGTGTCGGCGCTGGTCGGCGCGACACGTTAACCCCTAACCTCACTCACAAATCGCCATAATAAATGATAATAAAACACGAGGCGCCCTGAAGGAGAGCCAGGAGTGCCCAGGAGGAGGGAGTACGGCAATTATCTTGCTCTTGCACGACTTGCACCTTCTGCACTTTCTCGGATCTCTCGCTTATTCTCATGTTAAAAGTTATCTGTCTCACTTCGGTGTAGGTAGTGCAGAGAGTGCAAGCAGAAGGCACTCCAGATTCGTCACTCATATGATTATTGCCAACAAAAAAGAAATTATTCTTTTATGTTATTTCTAGCAGTATAGATTAAATTTAATTGTAGATTAATTTTAAAAGTTTAACTTATACTTTTTTATAATTTGAGTTTAGCAAAGAATCAAATAAAAATAAATAGCGACAAATTAAACCGAGTTTAAAATACGGACTCGAGATCTATCTAGAAATCTGTGAATTGAAATTAAATTACAATGATAGAAAAATATAATTATTTTTACTTTTTCTGACTTCGACTAATTCTTTAATTGTCTCCTTCTCCTTACTGACCATGATAAATCTGCGTATGCATGATCAGTTTTTGTGATCTATAAAAACGTGATCTAATTTTACGCAATTTTACGACGACGATTCTTTATTTATCAGTATAACTGTGGATACAGTGATTTCTATGAATTTTTCTCTATCTACATCCTACGATAAAGCGGGAGTAAAAGCGAACAAGCTTTACATTTTTAACTTTTAATGATATTTAAACAATCCAAAATTTTCAAAGATTGAAATTTAAAATTCATATAAGTTTTAATTTAAATTTTTTTAAATTATTCTAAAATAAGGAAAATGAATATTCAAGTATATAATTGAGAGGATGGGCGGAATAAAGGCTTAATTATAAAATCTTGATATTAATAAAAGTTAAAATAACTTGCTACTTTTTTATTATACACAAATGGGTACAATATTAAATGATTTATGTAATGTCTTTAAGAAGTTACATGTTACAATACTTCTCTATTACGATCAATATTACATGAAAGAGCTAATTGTGCCGGAAAAAGGGCCTAAGTAGAACTGTCTTTATTCCATCCCCTCAATTGTTTTAAATATTTTCATTTTCATTCAATTAAACTCATTAGCATGAATAAAGAAAAAAAATATTAAAAATATTTTAATAAAATAGTTTTATATTATTTTTTCAATTTTATTACAGGTTTTTTCATAAAATTGAAAAAATAACACAAAACTATTTTATTAAAATCTAAGATATATATACAGCCTTTAATAACCTTAACATGGATACAAAAATATCAAAATATTCAAATCTGTATATAATTTTACAAGAAAAACTTACAATAAAGTTCTAAAAATAATATAAAAATATTTTAAAATCTAGGAAATAAACGTATATTTCATAATTTAAGGGTACATTCTCGTCAGTTGGGTTAAATTTTGGTCAAAAATTTTTTTTTGCGGAATTCGATAGCTATAACTGTCTAGAATATCATGTTAAAAGGGCAAATCGAAATTCGTAACGGTTCAAAAGTTATGAGCCTCTGAGCCGACCGCGTCAAAGCGGGTAGCGAGCCGTCGCGCGGCACAGGTACGTAGCACCGACCATTCTTCGTATATTTATCGACCTTTCTGTCGGTTTATGATTTCTTTACAATCCTATAACCATCCTCCTCCTCTCGACTTGAACGTGCAGGAATTAATTCGGCCCATTTACGAAGACTTATCATCGCAAGATTTGTTGAACCGCTGTTGTGGAGGATTCACACAGAACAACAACGAGTACTTCAATAAAACTGTCTGGCAGTTCGCTCCAAAGCACTCTTTTTGTTCCTCAAATATCGTAACAATTGCGACATATTTGGCCACCTGTATTTTCAACGAAGGTTTTAAAGATTTTAAACCGATTGTGAAAATTATGTCGGTTATGGGAGTCACCATCGGCTCA